AACAGGAAAAGAAAAGGGCTTGGTTTTAAAGAAGGATTAGAGAGAGAACAATCTTCTCCAAGGTCTCAATTCAAGGGTTCATAGCATGACTCAAGGTATGATCTCAAAACATCTTATATTTGTGATTATCATGAAGTTCTACGATCGGTGTCTTCTAATTAATTATAGAGGAATTATTATTATGTTTTAGGGCTAATTTCAAAACATGTATGATTTAGGGGGAGTGACGCAAAGAAATGCCAAAGATTTTTAAAGACTAACGGCGTTAACAACCAGCCGAATCCAAAAGCACGCAGCTTGGCAAGCTCCGCTTGCGGATCATCATGTGCAGGGATCCGTTGGCCCAGAACTCAAATCAAAATGCTGCAAACTTCTCCTTCCCGCTCTTCTCCTCCTCAACCGCCGCCTCTCCTCCTCCTTCCGCCACCAAAACTCCCAGCGGCGGCGACGACCGCCTCCCCCATCTCACATCACTCCGTCGTCTCTCCCTCTCCTCCCCATCGGCACGCCTCCCCCAAACCCTAACCCTAGCCCTAACCCCTCACCTCCCCTCCCTCTCCCCTCCCTCATCGACCGCGTCCTCAAGCTCCTCTGGAACGACGCCCCCCGCGCCCTCCTCTTCTTCCGCTCCTCCTCCCCCTCCCCCTCCTCCCTCCCTCCCCCTCCTCGTCGACCTCGCCGCCGACCTCGCCGCACGCTCCCGCGACCGCAAGACCACCTGTCCTAATCCTCAACCTCCGCCGTCAGCTCAGCCTACCTCTAACCCCCCGAACCTTCTCCATCCTCGCCGAGCGCTTCGTCTCCCAGGGCAAGCCCGATCGCGCCGTCAGATTCTTCCTCAACCTCCACCATCACGGCTGCAATCAGGACCTGATCACCCTCAACACGCTTCTTGATGCTTTGGTCAAGTATGGGAGAGTGGAGAAGGCTTGCACTCTGTTTAGGGCCTTGAGAGGGAGGTTTGGGGTCGATACGGTGAGCTATAATATTGTAGCCGAGGGGTGGTGTAGGGTTAAGAGGACGGCGAGGGCGATGGAGGTGATGAAGGAGATGGTGGAGCGTGGACTGGAGCCGAGCTTGAACACTTATAATATCTTGCTGAAGGGGTTTTTTCGAGCGGGGCAGGTTAGAGAAGGGTGGGATTTTTTTGTGCAGATGAAGAAGAGAGGGAGGAAGGGGGCCGAGTGTTGTAGGCCGGATGTGGTTTCGTATACTACCGTGGTTCACGGGTTGGGGATTGACGGGCAGATTGAGAGGGCGAGGAAGGTGTTCGATGAAATGATTGGGGAGGGAGTCTTGCCTAATGTTGCTACATACAACGCTTTGATTCAGGTATTGTTGAATTGATTTGGCATTTGGAGTTATTTATAAAAGTTGGTACTTCAGTTGTATGAATAAAGTCGATGCAATTAGTTTGTCATAATTCTTTAGTTATGTGAACATCAATCAACAATGCTACTTGTTTCGTGTATGCTCAATTATAGAAATTTAGTTGTATGGATTTACTCTTGTGATTCATGTTATTCGAGTTTTTATACCCCTAAGCATAGCTGTTTACTCATGTGTTTGTTTATTCCAAAGTCTTCCCAAAGGTTTTGATGAATTAATTGTTTAGTAACTGATTAGTAAAGGTATAAACAAGTTCCTTGTTATACCCACCAAAACTTTATAATCCTCTGACATGAATCCCTCTCAATCCCTGTATCTTATGCATTTTGTCTTCACTGCAATAAGCTACACCATGTTTCACTGGATACACCCTTATAATCCCTTGTCGTACTTAGTTTGTAACAGGGCACACGAACTATAATATTTGAAGTAACTGCATACAACCTTACTACTTCTACTGCTGAGTTTTCTTTTAACTGTGGATTAAGGTAATTTGCAAGAAGGGTTGTGTTGAAGATGCAGTTGTGGTATTCAATGAGATGGTGAGAAAACGGTACACGCCCAATGTGATTACCTACAATTTGGTCATTAGAGGGCTCAGTCATGCTGGCAAGATGAACCGGGCAATGGAGTTCTTAGAGAAGATGAAGCTTGACGGTTGCGAACCAAACGTTCAAACTTATAATGTCTTGATTCGATATTGTTTGGAAGAGGGAGAGATTGAGAGAGGGCTAGAATTGTTTGAGACAATGGGAAAGAAAGGGGGTTGCCTCCCTAATTTGGATACCTACAATGTGGTGATAAGTGCAATGTTCACGAGAAAGAGGTCAGAGGACATGTTGTTGGCTGGTAAGATGGTTATAGATATGGTAGAAAGGGGGCATCTTCCAAGAAAGTTCATGTTTAATCGCATTCTCAACGGTCTGCTGCTGACTGGAAACCAAGGGTTTGCTAAGGAGCTATTGAGGATGCAAGACAGATTTGGACGATTGCAAAGGGAAATCAGACTGTGAAGTTTCAAAAATTCAGGTAGCTATTCTATCCTTATTGCGTCCGTCATTTATGCTATAGTAATGGATTTATTAATGTTTATAGCTTAGTAAAGATTACGTTGGTGTTATTAATAATAATCCATTCATGATTTACGATTACTCAATTTTCATTATTCGATCTCTCTCGTGTCACCTTCTGACTCGTCTAAGAACCCCTCAAACTAGCTCTTCAAAATTTGGCCCTGTTTGATTTTGCACCAGAACAATATTGCTTTCCATTTCAGAAGATTGATTGAACTTTTTGAATCTCAAGACTTGATGCAAGACGTCTTGGTCGACGCGACTTCAACCATCTTACTTCCGATGCCACATTTATGTAATTGCGCGTATTGAACATGACAGGTCAGTTAGCATGTATAAGAATATATGATAATCTACCTCACTGTTATGCAATTTTTTTTCCCGAATCATTATATCTACATACATTATTGGTTATGCAGTTCCTTGAATCAAGTCAAAAGTAAAGTGATGATAAAATTATCGGTCCCTGCAGATATCCTCCTTGGCGAAGAAGAAGAACTAGGACACGGGACACATGCGGAGGAGGGGGAAGTTTTGCGCTCCATATCGGATTCTCACGATCATCTTCAAATCAAAAAGCTCTGATTGGAGAGATCAAAGCATGGGATCAGTGAGAGAGAGAGATTGAGGGACCCTATTTTCTCCTCTTTGAGAAGGGGAGAAGAGATGAGAATGAATGATTTCCTTTGGATACTAATTACTAGAGAATAAGGACAAGAAGAATGAAATTCAGCTTCACCATGGATTCATTCTGTAATTAAGCCAGTAAATACCGTTTTTGTAAGTATTGATTAAGCATCTCCTTTTTTGGGTAGACTTGAAATTAAGTACCAATAGAGATTTGTTTACGTTTCTACACTAGTAAGGTGTTAGAAAAATACATGACAATAACAGCATAGTCTCAAAATTTCAGTGGCAAATTAGACCTTGATATGTATGTTTTAATTGCTTGGATGATGTCATCCAATCATGTAATTAAATCCTAGTTGGATTTTTAATTACTTCTAATGCCTTTTGTCAATTTAAGATATGCATTTTCATCCATTTTTAAGCCATTCAAGTTACTTAATACGTCGCAAGTTAATATTCCGGCGAACAAACTATCAAATGCAATAGAATTACACAATACAAATTACCCAGTATGCCACAATTTTTCATCTTCACAAGTGATAAAGATATTACACAAGTGATAAAGATATTACACATAGGAATAAATCTTTTATGTTAACCATCAATACTTCGTTATATCATGTCATCGAAAACCGTTACACCAATTGATAAGAAGTATTGGAAGTGATTATCACGATCTAGTATTACCCTACATGATTGATCATACAAGCAATTAAAAACATATGTACAAAGGTTCAATTATTATAGGAAAATATAATAGGACAAATTTTCAAAACCGACCCCTTTGGATTTTTAATTGCAAAAAACGACCTATTTCAGTTTTATTTATAAAAACCGACCCAGTTGGTTGAAACTGGGTCGGTTTTTAAAATTTTTTCTTCCAAACTTCACGGGAGTTCAACTCCCGTGAAGTTTTGTTATGAGAAAAACTTCACGGGAGTTCAACTCCCGTGAAGTTTCCCAAAAAAATTTAAAAAAACCGACCTGTTTTCAGCTAAATAGGTCGGTTTTTATAAATATTTTCAAAACCGGTCGTTTTTTGCAATTAAAAACCCAAAAGGGTCGGTTTTGAAAATTTGTCCAAATATAATAACTAACCATCCAATAAACCCTGCAAATACGTCACATATATTTTCTCCCCGTGTCTGAAGCAAAAAGAGAACAACCGCCAGACCTGAACTGCTCCTACTAACTTTCTACTATTGGGCCCTATTAATCCGTACCATATCCAGCCCACTTTACCATAACAGTTACCGTAATCTCCTTTCGTAGGGTGATCCATTTCATCCACTTCGACCCCTCGCCGGAGTTCAGCGTCGAACGTAACGCGCGCAGCGCCGGCGGCAATGGACCTCGCCTCCTTAACCCAAACAATCCAACTCCAAACCCAACTCCTCAAACCCAACACGAACCCGAACCCGAACCCAAACCCCCCTTCCCTCCCCTTCCCTTCCCTGCTCTCCGCCGCAGCCCGACTCCGCTCCCCCTCCTCC